ACTATAACTTGAGTACTTTAAAGGCATTTTTTATTCTCATTCTGGACCTATAAACTCTGTATTCCCATGCTAGCCTATTTTTTTGTTTAATTATTTCAATTCTGTAACAACACTCAAGAGTATCTGTCCCTAAGGTAAGATGGTGCTAAGAGGTGACAGTGCAAACTTTTTACTGCTTTCATTCAAGTAGATGTGACAATAAAGGCTATTTTAATTCTAACCAAACAACACAAACCATTCTCAAAGGCTGTCACATTGTGGTATAGGCTTGCAAACCGGCGTTTCCAAGACCATCAGGCTCCATTATGGATTGAGTAGCCACCATGTGTCAGCTTTGGCTCAATGGCAGCTTTCTTGCCTCTCCCTCGTGTTTCTAGCCTCACCTCACTGTTAAACACATGGTTTAGGCAGACACTCGCAATGCAGTTCTGAGGAAGTACATCACTATCAAGTTGTTTACCAAAGGCTCACCTGCTTGCTCAGGTGGATGTGAAAGATCCCATTGTGAAGAAAGTAAGGGGAGTTATCGCTGTTGCATTGGGCAGTAGTTAGCCCTTGATCAGCAACACAAGCAGAAACCAATTATCTGCTCATTTGTCTTCTTGCCGTTTGTGGGGTCTTTCTGCACTCAAATTTAGTGCCGTATTCCCTATGTTACAACAGTAACTACAGTTCAAATGCACTTTATCCTCTAAATGTGCTTCAGGATGTTACGTGTTTGTGAAAAGTGAAGCTCAAATGCAAAGTCTGGTCTGTTCCAGAAAGAAAACACTTTCTCTTTCAGCCAGCTTGGGGGAGCAGGCTTAAGGGGATGAATAGTTTATTCTTGTCCCCATTGGGGTGGCACAGTAGCTCACAGCGCCAGGGACCCGAGTTCGATTCCACCCTCGGACAACTGTCTGTGTGGAGTTCGCATATTCTCCCCGTGTCTGCATGGGTTTCCCCCGGGTGCTCCGTTTTCCTCCCACATCCAAAGATGTGCAAGTCAGGTGGATTAGCCATGGGAAATGTGGGGTTACAGGGATGGAGGAATGGTGGGTCTGGGTGGGATGCTCTTTGGAGGGTTGGTGCAGATTTGATGGGCCAAATGGCCTGCTTCCACACTGTAGGGATTCTATGATATTTGTTGCAGTGTTTTTCCCTTAGGAGGTTTGGACAGAAGGTCCCTGGGAGCATTACAAGACCTACAGATGAGGGTGTCTCTATTATAGAGAGAAGTTTGACAATCACAGCAGAGGATATACATTGATATAGTCAATGTTGACAGTGAACAAACAGCTTTACTTTTTCTGTGAGCTTTCTGCTGAGTTTCCCTTCGGTAAAAGCTTTCTCCATTATGTCATTGGAGAAATATGATTCAAGTGATCAGGCCAATAACATCATCAGCCAGATGGTAAAATTAACTATTAGACAGGAACTAAAACAGGACTCATAGCTCCCTGTGTTTATACAGCAATGTTCTGAAAATAGCCAATAACAGGGAAAGCTTCTCCAAACTCTCTCACGCGCCCAAACTGGCCGGTGAGTGGGTGCTGGAAGAACGCCTGTCTTTCTAGCTGGGAAGGGGGAATGTGGGAGGGCGAGAGAAATAAACGAGAGGGTCTGATGGAGATTCGTAAACTGGACCACTAACACAATTACTGAGGCAATGATATTTACACAGAGTGTTTTCAAATTCATTCACCACGAAAGAACAGTCCCACACATTAAACTCAATGCATGATGTGCAGAGCACTCATACATACCAGGCTGATTCTAGACTTGAACTCCAGTCTAAAGCTGAGTGGTTGGGATGCAATTTGACCTCAGTTCCCCCATGCCAGTTCTGAGTTCTGCTGCCTGATAGAGGCCCTGTTCACAATATCTGTTCAAACCTGATATCTTCCCATTTCCAAAAATCAGCTGTCATTGACTAAAGAACAACCTTTTGGTAAAAAAGCATTCTTCATTAAAAGAAAATCTTGAAGAAGAATAAAGATTTCTCCTAAAGTAATCCGTTCAACTCTGCTTCAAAAAATGCTCAGCAAAACCAGGTCCTGGGAAACGAATATAAGTCAAAAAAAGAAGCATAGAGTCATACAGCATGGAATGTTATCCCAAAGTAAACTAGTCCCACCTGTCTGCTCCTGGCCCATATCCCTCCAAACCTTTCCTATTCATGTACTTATCCAAATGTCTTTTAAACATTGTAATTGTACCCACATCCACCACTTCCTCAGGAAGTTCTTTCCACATGCAAACCACCTTCTTTGTAAAAAATTTGCCCCTCATGTCGTTTTTAAATCCCTCTCCTCTCACCTTAAAAATGTGTCCACTTGTCTTGAATTCCCCATCCTAGGGAAAAGACAATTGCATTAATCCCAGCTATACTACTCGTTATTTTGTTAAATTCTTTAGGGTTGCATCTCAACCTCCTGTGCTCTAGTGAGAAAAGTCCCAGCCTATCCAGCTTTTCTTTATAACTCAAACCTTCCATACCTGGCAACATCCTGGCAAATTTCTTCTCAACCCTCTTCAGCTTAACAGTATTCTTCCTATAACTGGCCGACCAAAACTGGACACAGCATTTCATAGGTTCAGAGATTGGACTAAGTGTTGACTGATTAACAAGTTCATAACTAGATGGCACGGTGATTACACATGGGAGGAAGACATGAAGGTTAATTGTTGAAGTATGGGCAGCAGACATGGTGATGTACCCCAGTGCAGTAGCTGTCTTCTTTTATTATCTATATGGGGAGAGACTTCAGGGTGCTCTGGTGCAGAGGGATCTGGGTGTCCTGGTTCATGAGTCACAGAAAACTAGCATGCAGGTGCAGCAGATAATAAAGAAAGCAAATGAAATGTTGGTTTTTATAGCTAAAGGAGTAGAATATAAAGATAAGAAAGTATTGTTGCAACTATACAAGGCATTGGTGAGACCGCACCTGGAGCATTGTGCAGAGTTTTGGTCCCCTTATTTGAGGAAGGATGTGGGGACATTGGAGGCAGTACACAGGAGGTTCACTAGTTTGATCCCAGAGATGAGCCATTTGTCGTATGAAGACAGATTGTAGAGTTTAGGCCTATATTCTCTGGAATTTAGAAGAATGAGGAGAGATCAAATTGAGGTATTCAGATGATAAAAGATATCGATAAAATTGAGGTGGAGTGGATGCTTCCTCTTCTGAGACATCCTAGGATGAGGGGTCATAGTCTTAGGATAAGAGGTAGCAGATTTAAAATACAGTTGAGGAGAAACTACTTCTCCCAAAGGGTTGTGAATCTGTGGAATTTGCACCTCCAAAGTGCGGTGGATACTGGGACAGTGGGTAAATTTAAGGAGGAGTTAGACAGAATTTTAATTGGTAATGGGTTGAAGGGTTATGGGGAGAAGGCAGGAAAGTGGGGGGGTGGAGCATATCAGCCATGATTGAGTAGCAAAGCAGGTTTCAATAGACCAAATGGCTTAAGTCTGTCCCTGTATCTTACGAAATTATGAATTTAAGATTAAATTATTTAGGGCTCTTGGGGATAGGGAATGATTCTATATGAAGCAATTAACATCACCCACACTTGCCTCACTTTGAGATAACCTGGCCATCTTTATATGTCTCCAATTTGAACATCTTAGCTTTCTTCTAAATAGTCTATTGACACGCAACAAAATAGGGTTCATGCAAAGGGAGTTTAGTACAAAACATGCTATTGATAAGTCATGGACACTAGTTGCCTGGGCTGTAGTGTTTCAGTTCTGAAGGGAGACTGGAAAGGCTGAGGCTGTTTTCCTCAGAGCAGAGAAGAGGGAGCGATGAGTACAAAATTATGAGCGACATAGACAGGGTAGGAAGGAAGAAACTTTCCCCCTGGTAGAGGGGTCAATAACCAGGGGATGCAGTTTTAAGGTAATAGTCTGAAAGTTTAGAGGGGATTTAAGGAAGAATATGTTTACCCAGATGGTGGTAGGTATTTTGAAATCACTGCCTGAAAGTATCGTAGATGCAGGAACCATCACAACATTTAAGAATTGCTTAGAGAATCTCTTGAAATGCTACAACATACAAGGCTGTAGGCCGAGTGCTGGGAAATGGGATAAGACTAGATAGGCGCTTGATGACCAGCATGGACATGATGGGCCAAAGGGCTGTAGAATTTTAAGAATACAAGAGCACTTCCACTCTGTACCCCTCTCTAATATCGTTTCTTCCTCTATTGAGGTGGTCATTCTCCATTTAGCCTTCAGTCAAGGTTCTGTCTCAAAACAGCATTGATCAGAAAATATATCCCCATCTTTCTCTTTTGTAACATCATGTACAGCCTCCCCTGCTATGTATTTAATCATAGATCTATCAAACATCAATTCCACACCAGTGTTTCTCTCTAACAGACAGTTGGTCTAATCTTAGACTCCTGCTCACTCACCATTGCCAATACATCCCTCCTTGTACTTGCAATCTTGAAATTGACCCATTCACTGAGAACACAGATGAAGTATGAACGTTTGCATTAATAAAATTCCCTGAACTCTGCTCCTGTACCAAGATTCAAAATACCCTAGGGAGTAGATGTAAGGAATATATTGTGCAGGATTATACTAGCAGCAAAAGAAAAATTGTGCAGTTTTGATTTCCCACGCTAACTCTTACTTACTGAATTCTGAACAAATTCACAAGCATTATGGTCAATGGAGATTCTTATATCACATGGACCAACCCTCCCAGCATCAACAACAAAATGGTGCCCAGTGTTAGCTTCATCTCAACTAATCCTCAGCACAGTCATTAAAACAAAATAAATTTGACATATTATTGGCAGAATGTGTATGCACATGGAAGCTTTTAATAATATTTTTAAAGATTTTAATGAATCATCTGAGAATTAGTGACAATTTAAAGAGCTACATTAACTACATCATCAATCAATTCAAAACTGTGTTTATTATTTGTTCAGCTGGCTGATTTTTACTGCTGAATACAGCAAGTTAAAACTCCCACCAGTAAGGAAACGACAAAACTTCCTACCTTTTTAAAGCACCTGCTGAGGTACAAAGACCCCAAAGAACCAACAGCCACTTCATACTTGTTCTCGAAGCTTCGGTCTTCCTGCTTGGCTGACTTGCCAATCTTACATCTGGGTAAAGTTTCTATCTCTTGCGAGTTTTATAGTCATTTGGCATCGCCTACAGCTTCACCGTCCACCTTCCCATTGGCTAATGCTCATCCCCTCTGTCTACTGCCCTGCCCTTGTCAAACTGTTTGGCAGTTTGGACATGAGAGAATGGAATTAAACTCTATGTACACAGCAGCCCGACTTGATTGACTTTGTGGAGATTTTATTCGAAAATACTGCAAAGAGATTTTGTGGGAGACCATTGTGAAAGGAAAAATCCGGGCAGGGTGGTCACGTTGATTCCATTTGCTATCTACTCTCCCCTGGATGCTGAGAGTTACCAAAACTGTCCCTATTCACTTCATCAAAACTCTTCAATATTTTAAAATCTAGCTACATGGGAATTAACAGAATTGGTTGAAGAGATCGCAGATTTTCTCACTGAAATCTTTCAAAACTCACTGGAATCAAATAACACATCAGTCAATTGTAAAGTATTAGTTCCATAAGCCATTCTTCCCAAATAAATGATCTTCAATTAAATACCACGAACCTTATGTCATTCTGATGGAAGTGACTGAGACGTCAATGGGACAGGGCATAACAATTCATAGAAAGGATAGGGTCAGGTTATACAGTGGCACCTATCATTTAGGGAAAACAACTTCATTGTTTCAGTGATAATTTTGTCTGGTTATGCAATTTTCAAGCAACTGGGGATATTTATCTATATTAAAAGCATTAAACGAAAACTTTGTGGTGGTTGTGGGTCTGGTGAAGCAGTCAATATTTTCTGCCTCAATTCAGAAAAGGATTTGAGGTTATTCTAAGTAACAGGATGGTTCAGAAGGAATGAGCTCATGGGGTAACTGGTAAAGTCAGGACTGGAATAATGAGCCCTCCTTCATATTTCTACTCATCCATACTCACTTTTCTCCAGGGTTCCATCATCAATCCCTCATGATGGCCCTGGTGAAATGTTGGCTCTTTTGTTGTGTAGGGTTTTATCCAAGAATTTGGGTTTGAGATAAACTGGTCAAGGAGAAGGAACATCAAGAACCGTCTTCAGGCTTAGTTTTCTTCCTAACTCTGTTTATTTAATATTAATACTAAATATTACTATGCATGGTAATCTTAGAAACATCAGCCTCTAAGTGCACTGTCATATTATTAAAAGACCTTAATCCAAACTCTATCACTTCCATCTTCTATTGATCTTACTAACTTCATCCACTCTGTGCTATTTATGTTCAATGAGGAGCAGCTCTGAGACATCATCACAAGGGTGCTCCAGGTTCCTAAAGCCATTGGACAACACTGACAGTGAACACAACCCCTTTTAAGCAGGTTAAGCACCTGCTTGCCATTAAATTGTGCCAAGTCTCCCGGAGATGATCAATATGGGGCTCCCACTATTTATTTAGCCAGTGGATGGATTCCCTGCTGTGAAAATTAAAATCTGAAGAAATGGAAACTAGAATTTTGGTTTTCAAATCAGGTGAGGGGAATTGTAGAAGTGTTTGATGATCTTTTGCTGCACATTGTGTTATTGGGTGATTATAACCTTGCTTCAAAGTGATACCTCCCTCCACCATTGAAGACAACCACAGAATCTGATGTTATTTGAAAAGCATTCTTTATAATTGTATCAAAAAAGATACCTCCCTCCACCATTACAAGCACTCACGGGATCTGATATTATTTGAACAGCATTATTAATAATTAGTACAGCATTGAAACATGTAGAGACCAGAAGGTGACTATTCAGTCCTTCGCATTGGTGCCAAGTCTTTGAAAGACCGTTCCAATTTAGTCTCACTTCCTAGCTTTCTCCCCATAGTCCTGATAACATCTCTCTTTTAAGTATTCTTCCAACACACATTTAAAAATTACTATTGAATCTGCTACCACTGCCCTTTCAGACTTGCAATGTAAAATAACTCATAAGAAGACTTTCCACATCAAGCAGATGTTCACCTGCACATCTGCCAATGTGGTATACTGCATCCGCTGTACCCGGTGTGGCTTCCTCTACATCGGGGAAACCAAGCGGAGACTCGGGGACCGCTTTGCAGAACACCTACGCTCGGTTCGCAACAAACAACTGCACCTCCCAGTCGCGAACCATTTCAACTCCCCCTCCCATTCCTCAGACGACATGTCCATCCTGGGCCTCCTGCAGTGCCACAATGATGCCACCCGAAGGTTGCAGGAACAGCAACTCATATTCCGCTTGGGAACCCTGCAGCCCAATGGTATCAATGTGGATTTCACAAGTTTCAAAATCTCCCCTCCCCCTACCGCATCCCAAAACCAGTCCAGCTCGTCCCTGCCTCCCTAACCTGTTCTTCCTCCCACCTATCCCCTCCTCCCACCTCAAGCCGCACCTCCATCTCCTACCGACCAACCTCATCCCGCCCCCTTGACCTGTCCGTCCTCCCTGGACTGACCTATCCCCTTCCTAACTCCCTACCTACACTCACCTTTCCTGGCTCCATCCCCGCCTCTTCGACCTGTTTGTTTCCTCTCCACCTATCCTCTCCTCTATCCCTCTTCTATCCGCCTCCCACTCTCTCCCTATTTATTTCGGAACCCCCTTCCCCTCCCCCTTTTCTGATGAAGGGTCTAGGCCCGAAACGTCAGCCTCTCTGCTCCTATGATGCTGCTTGGCCTGCTGTGTTCATCCAGCCCTGCACCTTGTTGTCTCTCATCTCCCCTGGTCTTTTCTCACCAACATTCTTCAATTTATACTCTTTGGTTGTTCAATTTCTTACCAATACAAATAATTTTGCCCACTTTCTTTAACAAACCACCTCAAGATTTTATTGAAGTGGAGGAATTTGCAAGGCGACAAGTTGAAACTCTAGGTCCCTGGTCTTGTAGAATGACGATGGACATATATGTTTTTCAATGGCCCATTTGTTGAACAAATCCAGTGGGCAGGTGGCGTCATGAAACACCACACAATGTCAGTGTCCTTTGTTTTGATTTTCTCTTCAATTTTACAAGGTAAGTGAATACATCAAACCAGGACAAAGTTGGCACTTTTCTATTTCCTTGGGTATGTTTGGAATTCAAACATTCAATTTTATCTCTGCTTTGTACATATTGTTCCAGGAGTAATGACTTGCTACTGTTCTAAAAGGTCACTGATTATAATTATTGAAGAACAAATTATAATTCTGTCAGATGAATGGAATTGAAGTCAATTTAAAAATATAGTACAATTGATAGCAATACCAGTGTTATTTTTAATAAATGGTAAGTATGTACAGAACTTTCGATAATAAACTTATAAAGGAGAAATGCTTTCATGGCTATGGGGAAAGGGCAGAGAAATTATGAGGGGGCATGGATAGGGTGTATAGCCAAGGTCTTTTCCCCAAAGTAGGGGAGTTCAAAGCTAGAGAGCATGGGTTTAAGGTGAGAGGGGAAAGATTTAAAAGAGACCGAAGGGGCAACCTTTTCACACAGAGGGTGGTGTGGGAATGAGCTGTCAGAGGAAGTGATGGAGGCTGGTACAATTACAACATTTAAGAAGGCATTTGGTGGTTATATGAATAGGAAAGGTATAGAAGGATATGGGCCAAATGCTGGCAAATAGGACTAGATTATTTTAGGATATCTGGTCAGCATGGACAAATTAGACTGAAGGGTCCATTTCCATGCTGTACAACTCTATGACTCGAAGTGAGATGATATAAAGAGCTCCTTCAGCTAGCACAAGCATGTTGACTGGAATCTGGTCCTACTGTTTTAGATTTTTTTGTCACTCTTTCATGGGATGTGGGCATCCATGTTATCCATCCCTATGACTGTCTTTAAAAGCAGTTTGGAACCACACTTTTATCGATGTTTCATGGGATATGGGCATTGTAGCCCATTCCTAATTATCCTTGAGAGCAGTTAAGAGACATAAATAGACCCAGCCAGACCAGAAAAGGAGAACAATTTTCCTTCCATTAAGAAGATTAGTAAAATGAATTGGTTTTTACAATAAACAATGATAGTTTCATAATCCCAAACAGAAATTACTGGAGAAATTCTGCAGATTTGGCAGCATCTGTGGACGTAGAAACAGAATTAATGTTCTGAGTCCACGATGATTTTTCTTCAGCTTACCTTAGCTCTGATGTTCCAAGGAAGTGCCACATCGTACTCGAAGCATTAACCTTCTTTCTCTGTTCACAGATGCTGCCAGACCTGCTGACCTTTCTCAGCACTTTTCTGTTTTTATTTCAGATCTCGAGTGTCTATAAACATTGCTTTTATCTGATTGATAGTTTCACGGTCACTACTACTGAGACTAGCTTTCAACTCCAGGGTTTCTATACATCAATTGAACCTTGTTATGATTTGAACTCACCCAGAGCATTAGATTGGACGTCTGGATCACTAGTCCAGGTGATCAGTGAGTAAAAGTCAAGTCGCCATGGTCCCAGAGGACCATAGGGTGACATGGCGGTACAGTGGATAGATCTCCTTCTCACAGTGCCCAGATTCAATTCCAGCCTCGGGAGACTGTCTGTGTGGAGTTTGCATGTTATCCCAGTATCTGCATGAGTTTCCCTCAGGTGCAAAGATGTGGAGGTTAGGTGGATTGTCCATGCTAAGTTGACCTGTAGTGTCTAGGAATATGCTGGTTAGGTGGGATAGCCACGTGTGGTTACAGAGGGGAGATGGATCTGTGTGGGATGCTTTTCGGAACATTGGTGCGGACTCAATGGGCCAAATGTCCTCTTTCTGCACTGTGTGGATTCTATTATAGGACTGCTCTCATTGGAGAGAGATGACTGGTGGTGAGTTTAACCTGAGGGTGCACACGTTTCTAGCGAGGGGAAATGTTGAGAAGGTGAATCCTTCATGGTAACCTCAGCTGTTGCCGGAATTGAACCCATGCTTTTAGCATCTCATGACTGTCACCCAAAAGAAACAGCACAGCTGCATAATGCAATTCCTCCATGAGTCTGTAGATGGAGTGAAAACTCTCTTCAGATTAGATCAGACTCAA